AAGGCTGAAAAAAATTCAGGCCTGAATGGGTATATTTCGAACCCACAAAGTGACCAGCTCCCAGATGGCTGGATAGCTCAGTTGGTAGAACACTACACAGGTATTGCAGAGGTCATGGGTTTGAATCCCGTTCATTTCTCACAAGGAAAATCCTTGTCTGCGAAATTATTTTGTACGCAAGTTTCCAGATAGTGGTTATGTCTCTGCAACATGGCTTCTAAAACAAGCTGCACAACAAATTTCAGCGAACAAGAAAAACTTTTATTGGCTGAATTGGGTAAAGACTTTCCAGAAGTGGAAAGCAAAGGCTACGATAGAAAAACATTTGCAAAAAAGGCAAAGGCATGGGAGGAAATTTTAACTAATTTTAAATCCAAAAATCCAAAAGGTATCAAATGCAACCTAAGTCGGCTACATTGTCATGAAAAGTGGACATCATAAAAAGTGAAAAGTGAAGTGAAAAGTGAAAAAACAAAATGAGAAAAGTGAAAAATGTGCAACATCATAAACTTTCTAATGGTATTAGCCAGGTTCTCTGGGAATGACAGCAATTGTCCTTTTCGTTTTGCAATAGCCCTTGAAACCTTGTGAATGACTGTGCATGTAGCAAATACAGAAACAGCAAATAAAATTGTCAATAATCCTCTGGAAAGTTTCTGTCGCATAGAATCTTAAAGCAATTAGCACTTGCTGCGTTGCTGTAAGTGGCAGACCTCTCCTTGTTCTATGTTGGAAGACCTTTATCCAAAATTTTAACGAGGTCACTGACCGAGTCCTTTCTAGGGTGAAAATGCAATCGAAAGTCTTCGTGGTCTATTCCTCTAATGGGTTGAATCTATACCTAGGGTGCCAAATTGTTCGAACATGTATATTTCATCGATTGGCGTAGTTTCTTAACTGTCTATACCGCAAAGGTCCCTCCATTTCAAAATAATATACTCTTTCTAGGTGTTTGTCAACAGATCAAGATTTACTAGTCAAACATGACATCTGTTTTCACTGTGAAATTTAACCCAAAACTTAACCTCCTAACT